TTTATGACCCAGCCTCTGCCTCCTACAGGCAGCTGACCGCTGGCAGGTGTGGGTCATTTGCTCCCTCCAGTTGCCCTGGCAACCCACAGGTGTGCTCCTATTCCCCGCTAGGGCTCCCTATGCACTGCCAGAGTTTTTCCTCTGGCAGTTTCTGCCCTCTAGGAGCAGGGCACTGAGGTGCCCTGCGACACCCAGTTTCTAGAAATATGGGTGATCCATCTCACCAAGGCTCCCTCCCTCCCAGTCCCAGCCTTACCTGCACTGGCAAACTTGCCCATGCACTGTGGGGCAGCATCTTCTGGCATGACCTGAACAAATAGCTGTGTCTCAACAAGCTTCTCGGTTGGGCACTGGGCCAGCAGGACCAGTGTGTATTGATTCACCTGCTTGGCATCCAGGGCAGCACTGGGACTGAGTGTGATCTAGCAGAGGGTAACAGTAGTTAACAGAAGAGCCAGCCCAATGTGTATGTTGCTATACCAGCCCCCTACATGCAATGGGAGCCCCAGTCCAGAGCCCTAGTCCCACAGGCAGCAGTCACCCCCAACCCAAGTCCCCTGCCACATGTAGTAGATATCCCTGTCAGATATGACAGCTCCACAGGACCCAACCCCTGGACTAGTGTCTCTGAAGGAAGTGCTTTTCCCCTGATGGTTGTGAGGGGCCGATACATGAACTGCCAGAGGAGGGATCTTGGTCTGTGCTCTGCAGGTTTAGTTCGGTCTTTCTGGGCCTTCCCTTCTGGTTCTGATGCTGACTCTGGACAGACTTCTAGTCACAGTAGAGTCCTGGCAAATCCCTTATTCCCCACTGGGAGGGAAGGCAGATGTCACCCTCACCCAGTACTGCCCTGGCCTAAGGGTAGTATACAGCACTGGTACAGAGCAATGGAGTCATTGGGTTCTTTGTCTCTACTGAAAATTCTAATCCCAGGGAACCAGAGCCTTTGACACAGCCTTGTCTTGGCACTGCCAGTGTCTGGATCCTACACCTGAAACAATGCTATATGGGGGTCTGCCAGCCCTGGCAGCCTTGGGGATGCCTTCCTCTTTGCCTTGCGCCAAGGCAGACTAAGGAGGTTTGGGCAGACACCTCACGTCTGGAGCACTTTATTTGGTATCTACCCTCTGCCCTACCTTAATGCTGTAGCCTTTGTCCATGGTGTCACTGGGGCTGATGGCAGGTGGGTTGAAGAAGGCAGTGGGTGGGGTGACACTTTGCAGAGTGACGCTGATGTTACTGTTCAAGTGCGTGCAGTTGAGAACGAATTCTGCGATGGATGTGCCAGGCAGTGCATTCTCACTCACATTCACAGTGCGCGGAAGATCAAGCAGTGCTGGGTATGGAGGTGCTGTCAGAGAGCTTGCCCCATTTTAGCTCCAGCTTGGCAGGGCCCTGTCACCCTTCCTTGGGGAGATGGGCACTACCCATTCAGGGAAACAGGTGCATCTTGTGCTGTGTGTCCTGGCTGGGAATGTCCTGGAACAGCTACCTTGGCCTTGTCCCAGCACCTCTTTCCACTTAGAGATGCATTGCTTACCACAGGCTATCATATGTCCTTGGATTTAAAGAGATTACAGCTCCCCTACTGGAGCCTGAATAAAGTGCTTCCCATGCACTGGGACATGGACACACACATGTGGCACACACACATTCACACATGGTATACCGCTGCTCACACCCACAGCCACACAGACAGACCCACACACCCCCGGGCATCCATTCAGCATGTATTTCCACACATACTGACATCCATATGGGTGCCATATGCACACCTTTGGCACCCATCTGCCACAGATATACACACAGAAGCATCACCATATATACATTCACAGCCACAGTCACTCATTCATGGACTCAGCCATGCACAGAGTCATCTATACCCACATGGGTACATATACATGGACACCCACCCAGCTGTGCATATATATGGGCATACCAATACACACATTCACACACATAGAGCCACATTCAGGGGTACACACGTGGGAGCACCCATACACACATTCATACAACCTTACATACAAGCATACATTGGGGCACTGATATGCATATTTATACACACAGCTGCACACAGGTATACCACAATGCATGTTTACACATATAGCCATAACCACTTGGGCAGACTCACCTACATAGCACTTACCCAGCAATAACACACAAATATGTACAAAACTCCCTTTCCCCCACCCCTCCCCCCATACACACACTCCTACTTCTTTGGCTTGGTTGGTGGCTGAGTCCACATTCTATTGGGCTTATCTGGACTCTGGTGTTTTCCCAGCACAAAGCAAAGGGTAGGACTGACTGACTCAAGCCTGAATGTGGCAGGTTGTCAGGTGTGAATCCTTCTGTTCTGTTCTTACCTGTGGCTCTGACGAAGACCCCTGAAAGAGGAAGAGATACTGTCATCCATCTGTGGGACACTGCATAGCTTGGGCTCAGCGCTGAATGCTTACATGCCCACCTTCCCCCAGCCCCAGCCTGAGAGGAAACACAGCCCACATTTGTGAGGTGTTCTGTTGCCAGTGCCATGGGTACTCAGGGTGGGGTGGCACCTGGGCAGTGCTAAGTCTCTGAGGACTCCTTCCAGTGCCTTACAGACTCAGACAGTGCTGGCTACTGGAGGAATAGGGACACCATCAGCATCACAGAGACTCTAGCAAAGAGGGAGCCTACCAGCATAGATCTCTGGTGGTTCTGCTCCACAGGAACCTGCCATCACTCAGCATTTGATCCACAGGCAGTGAATTCTGGCAGGAACAAGTTCCTCCTGTGGCTGGATTGCAGGAATTTCAGCTCTGGTATACCTACCTGAGGTGCCAAGGATGAGGAGCAGCAGTAGAGGCAGGTTCCTGAATACCCCCATAGCTGCCAGAGATACGGTGTCCACAGACTGGATGTGGCCAGGTGGCTCAACTCTGCCTGCCTGTGTTTGGGAAACTGCAGAAGGTTGCTGGGCTGTTGCTATAGACTCTAGGTTATGCTCAGGAAAAGCAGGCACCACCCCAGTCCTGCTGGTCCCAAGGACAGTGGCCACTCCCTCACTCAGATGATGGTAACAACTTCCAGGGCCCTTCTGTCATCTACTGCCCATGGTGTGCCAGCCTGTGGTCTGTGCTTCCCCGGGCTTTCCTGTTTAGCCTGAATCCTGAGGTCCCTGACCTTTCCTTACAACACAGGGCCTCCTCCTGTCACTGTTAGCTCAGGCTGAGGGACACCATACTTGCGCCCAGCTGAGCTTTTACATCCATTCAAACTTTGTGCCGAGATGCTGTGACTACCCCACTAAGTTGATTGTGTTCTTGGCACACCAAAGCTGGGCTGGCACAAGACATGTACCTTTCCTGATGGGGGTCTTTTCTTTAATTCACAACAGCCAATACAGCTTGAAGCTTTCCCTGCTGTCTGCCTATGCACCCCCAAACCCACACACAGGACCAGGTCACAGCTCCTCATCCCAGAATGCATGCAGGAAGCCCAGACTCCCAGGAAGCATGCAGCCATGAGCCAGCCTTAGGGCTGCACCTAGTAGACCACTGCTCAGCCCCAGGGGCAGCCTTGTCTACCCAATACACTATACAGAGCTAACTCTGCCCTGGCACTGATCGTAAGTCTAGTGATTGGGGGCTCCCCATGGCAGCTCATGTAACCCCTCCCAGTCCTGTGCCTACTGGGAGCCTAGATGCAGCGAGTGCTGTGCCTGACTCCGCTGTGACTATCTGGGGCTTGGAGCCCTGAGTAAGCTGCCCTGAACCCTTTCAGATCAATTACCTAGGGCAGGGGTGGGCAAAATGCAGCCCGCAGGCTGGATGCAGCCTGCCAGGCCATTCTATCCGGCCCGCAGGGCCCCTAAAAAATTTAGAAAATTAATATTTATCTCTCCCTGGCTGCCTGTCATTGGCCCCCCATGGCTTGCCAAAAATCAGTAAGTGGCCCTCCACCTGAAATAATTGCCCACCCCTTCCCTAGGGGTACCACTTCTCCCAGTATCACATAACCCTTCTACTTGGATGGCAGTAACAGGGGCTGGGCTCAATTTTAGGAGTTTAACACAAGCTTTCCAAATTTGACTCCAGCTTGCATGGAGAAACTTGGGAAAATCCATTTTAACCAGGTGTTCCAAAGTAAAACCACTTTCCAACTCACAAGCAATGTTCAACTACATCATGGTTTATTACAGGGGAAAAGGGAGCAAACAGCCAGCCTTAGAGAAAACTTTAACTATTAACATGAACTGAAACTCAATACAATTAACAGTCTCAGTCATTGGCAAACCAACCTTGGGAACTACCACCTAGCCCTCTCAGGTGGGAGGGAAGACTAACCCAAGGCTGCCCTCCAGGGGCTCTACTGCACAGGTGGGCAAAATATGGCCTGCAGACTGGATCCAGCCCACCAAGGGATTTTATCCAGGCTGCGGCAGGTCCCTCAGCCCTGCCTGGGCAAGGTGCTGGGGCATCCCGGGCTGTGGTTTGTGCAGCTGGTCTTGTCATCCCTGGGTACATGGCAGAGTGGGGGTGGTGTGGTAGCTGGACTCCACTTCCTAGCAGCCCCATCAGTGGCTCCTTCCAGCTGCCACTGCTCGTGTCTCTGACGCCACCAGACCTGGCCCTTCTGTCCTGCACCCACAGCTGGGGATGCTGGATGCAGCAGGCAGGTGGGGTCTCCATGGAGATCATCCAGGACCCCTGCAGGCAAGGCTTGCTTGGCCAGGTGGTTGGGATAGGGCTGCAGCAGGCGGGGAGCAGCATCTGGGAGCAGGACAGGTGGGTGGGGGCTGGGATCTTGGAGCGGTAACACTATGGGGCTGGGACCTGGGGCAGAGCCACAAGCTCCTCCCTGCCTGTCCCTGCTGTGCAGGGAGCAGATTGTGGATCTGCCCCAGGCCCCAGCCCTGCGCTGTCACTGCTGTATGATTTCAATCCTGGCCCTGGCCCTGGCCCGCTCACCCATCTCACTCCTGGATGCCTCTCCCTGCCTGCCCACAGACCCATCCTATCTACCTGGCCAAGTGCACCCTGCCCACAATGGTCCTGGCCGTGGAGACCCCACCTGCCTGCTCCATCAGTGTTCAGGCTGGACCAGCCTGGGTCAGACAGTATCAATTACTCACCTCCCACCACACCAGGCCAGACCAAGTTAGCACCCCCCACCCCACACGCCCTGCTCCAGCCTGCAACAGCTCACTCATATTCCTAATGTGGCCATCTAGCCAAAACAATTGCCCACCACTGCCTACTGCCTACACAAGCCAAAGTAGGAAGTGCTGGGTAGGGTGGCCCAACTCATCCTCCTGCCAGGGCTTGCTGCTTTACTTGCCCTACCACCTACACCAGCCAAAGTAGCAAGTGCCAGGTAAGGAGGTTTGCACCTGACTTGCCACTATTCCCCTGCTGGGGATCACTATTCTGGCTGCTGCTACCAGGGTTCACCATTGCTTCTCTGCCACTGGTCCTCTAAGATTGTATAGGCAACCCCAGCTCTATTAGACCCTGACCTACTCAACACCATTCCCAGGGATTTCAGCTCTTACTGTTATAGTGAGCATCAGGCCTCTATCTGAACCTACTATAGCAAGTAGGTGCTTTCCCTTTGAGAAGCTGAATAATACCTGTCCCAAATTTCTCCTTCTTACACACACCATTTCCATGCTAAAACTGAGCGCCACTCCAGTGCAGCTCCCTAAGGGTCATAAAATGAAATTAGTAGGTAGTAAGTTTAAAATTAACAAAAGGAAGTTCTTTTTTACACAGTGTGTAATTAAACTCATTGCCACCAGACACTGTAGAAGCTGACACTTTAACTGATTCAAAAAGGGATTGGACAAATTCTTGGAGGAAAGGTGCCTCAATGGCTATTGAGCATGTGAATTAGGGGTACAGCCCTAGAATCAGAACTTCCCAGACCCTCAATGCTAAAGGCTACAAGTGGGAGAGGAACAGTGGAAAAAACCCTGGTTATATCCAATTCACTCTTCCTTTAAGCATCTGCTCTCAGCCACTATGTGACACAGGATACAGGGCAAGATGGATCTATGGCAGTGGTGGGCAAAATACTGCCCAGGGGCCAGATCCGGCTTGCTAGGCAATTTCATCTGTCCTGCGGGCACCCACCAATTAATTATACCCCCAGCCCACTGGTGCACTTTGCTCCCGACCTCCTACACAGGAGGGCCCTGACCCCAGCCCCAGCCAGCATGCACAGCTTCCAGGTGCCCTGTCTGCTGCAGCTGCCAGGGAACCTGCTCAGCTTTCCTGGCTTCCAGAGGCTCCTCATCATGCCCCAGCTGCAGCGCTTGCTCCGGGCAGCAGGTAGGGAAGCTGTAGCTGGGTGGGAGCGCGGACCATGGGGCTGGGACTGGCAGGAGCACGGAGCCTGGGGCCTGTGCCCAGTGGGGTGGTGGGAGCACAGAGCTTGGGTTGTCAGGGTGTGGGTATGTGTGGGGTTTGTGGGGTAAAGCATGGTAGGGGGCTGTGGGGACCTCCCACTGTTCCCCATGGTGCACAGCCCCTGCTGCCAGCAGCAGCAGCAGCAGCAGCACCAAGCGGTGGGCTCTCAGGGTGTTCATGGCCCTTGCAGGCGCTGCCGCCAGGTGCTGCATGGCTCCAGCCAGTTCCGGGAGCTGCATGTGGTGGCAGAGTGGGGCCAGGCTGGCCTGCCTCTACTGTGGGGGGCTCACGTGCAGCTCCTGGAACTCGCAAAGTCCTGTGTGATAGAGCTTGTTGCCTTTCCCACTCCCTGCCGTCACATGCAGCTAATGGAACTTCACTGGAAGTGGGACTTCCAGTGGCAACCATCCCAAGATGGCAACCAGGGCGTGGGGCTACTGCTGAGGCCCTAGACAAATTCACCAAAACTCATTAAGTGGCTTTCCAGCCGAAATAACTGCCCACCCCTGATCTATGGTCTGACCCAGTAAATGGCAGTTCTTATGTTCCTAGTGAGGGCTGACCTGTCACTGACCTTTGTGTAACTTTCCACTGGTGACATTTGTGTGCCTACAGACATCACCATTTGGGAAGGGAGGGCCCTCAAACACAAAATTGGATCCACCTGCCTGTTACAATTGCATGCTTTAACCCCAAAGAGTAAAATTCGGGCCCACAAACAGTAAGAATAGGTGCAAGTATCCCCAAACCTCTGAACTTGCATATTAATGAGGGTATGCAGAGAAAGAAGACACAACATTACCATTGTAGAGTGTAGACCATAGCTATAGGTGAACTTGCATAACATAAGCAGGGTTAAAATCAGACCTGTTGCTCTCTGATGCAGCAAGTTTACAGCCCTAACTCCACACATCCCAGCCTAGAGCCAGCACAGCATCTGGCCGTGTGGCCACCAGAGGGTGCTCCCATTTCGCTGACTGGTGGGAAGTTGAGTCAGATCCCTAGTGCTCAAAACGAAGCTAGCCTTTGCTCATGTCCGACTGCCTTTTCCTTGGCTTGTCTCTGTGACACTCCCCCAAGGGAAGTATGCTCTGGACAGTGAGGGCACCCAGCAGTCTGGGTGTGCCGATTCCTGTTCTTTTCCATTGGACCCTTCCCTAGAGCACAGGGGCACAGGTCCTCTGAGGAAGGGGATACCCAGGGAGGGAGAGCTGGGGAACCCAAACTCCTGTGCAGCCTTGCTTCTCTTTGCACTACTGTTTCCCCACTGATCCAAGCAGAGCAGTCCTCTGCCCTATGGCAGGCTCTGTAGTTCCTGTAGAACTGCACAGACCTCATGCTATACCAGTGCATCTGCCAGGGCTGGGAGAGGAGGTGGGCTATGAGTTGGGAATGAGGGACAGCACTAGAACTGAGATGAGGTAGCACCCAGGGCACAGCTAGCAGGAGACTATGGATAGGGGTAACAGCAGGGCTGTGTGTTGAGGGAGCCCTGCGCTGGCCTAGCACAGGTTGTAGGTTGGGAGTGAAGGGCCCTGGAACTCCTGACTTGGGGAATCTTGGTGTCAGTCATCACAAGTGCCTTGAGTATTGAAATCATGAATGACATGTGTCCTTGGCGGCTGGGGGAGGAGCATGCAGTAAGCAGGAAGCTCCTGCAGATGCCACTGGCACTGTCAGCAGCTGGGGGGTGACGAGCACCAACCAGGGGTTGGCAACCATCCACAGATGCCTCTGGCAGTGTCGACAGTGGCCAACGGTAATTGCTGACCGCCTGCAAACGCTGCCAGCAGTGTTGGCAGTGGTGGGGGGGAGGGTGGAGAGTAGCAATCACCCACAGGCGCCACCGACAGTGTCAGGGGTACCTTTTCATAGGGGGTGCACCACTTCGCTCAGGGGGCACACGTGCACCCGCATGCACCTCCTACACGTCACCAATGATTGAAATCCTATGGCCAGAAAAGAGCACTCTGTTTAGCCTTGGCTCTTGGCCCTGG